TTTTTTTATTTTTCTCCTCCCCCAAACATCACTCAGGATTTAGGATAGGTAGACAGGGAATGGAAGAAGCTGCGGATATGTTCTCTTGACTATTAACTGAAATGTTAATGTTACAGAGTGAGCTGGTAATTTGACAAATAAAATTTACTCTAAGAAAGCTAGGTCTCTCCCCACTTTTCCAATTACATGGAGCTTATTAAGGAGGAGATTAATGTTGAGAAGCAAATCTTTGTTGTATTTTTTATTTATCTAGTGATGATTGAATTATAGAAAGACGTGTAAGTCTATTTGACCCTGCTTTTTAAATAATATTAAGAAAGTGACTATAATTTGGTAACTTTTCCACAGCTTCTTTCAAGTTCTTTTTAACTCAAAATGAAAATCAGAGGAAAAAGACAGAAGCTGAGAGGAAGTGTAGTTTCCAGAAGTTAGGTAATGAGCTCAGGTGACACTGTTGGCGCTGTAGGCGCTAACCTAACCGCAGGGTTGGTATTTGACAGCCACCAGCCACTCTGTGGGAGGAAGATGAGGCTGTCAGCTGTGGTGAAGATTTACAGCCTTGTAAAACCTGTACAGGGTGCTGGGGGTCGGAGGAAATCGCTCGATGGCAGAGAATCTGGTTTTTAGTTTGAAGATTACTTCGCTGTCATATTCAGCTACACCTTTCAGATTCAGATATCATACATATTTTTCCTTTTGGTGCTTAAGATTTTTGAAGCTGAAAATTTTGGTAATTTGATTGGTAACACTTTGCTTCTGACTTACCTATTGGGAATATTGTCAAAACCATTTAATTATGGCTATATTTTTTTAACTTACAAAACACTTCAAATATTTGGAGATTAGAATAGTAACAAGATCATACAGAAGACCAAAGTCACAGCTCTGACAGAGACCTTAGATACCTTTCAGGTTTGGAGCTGAACCCACCCTCAGGGCTCATAGGGCAGGTTCATTTATTTATTTTCAGCCAAACAAGAACAAGCCAATAAAGTAAAGTCCTGATGTGGCGCTGTGAGCTAATATACGGGACTACAAAGTGGGTTTGAACCACAGGGTCGGCAGTTCAAGCTCACCAACTGCTCTGCAGAAACTGCACAGGGTCACTGTGGGTCAAAAACGACTTGACGGCACTTAACAATAACAGCATAAAGTAAATAACAATGCTAGGACAGAATGTACTTCTCAGTGCAGTCAACGCAGGAGACCACAAAGGCAGCATTCGCCCACAAGCAAAGTTCATAAGCTGGAGAAGGGCATCAAAGAAAGATAAATGCAAACAGGGAATGCAGGGAGACAGTGGGAAGAGCTCTGTGACAGCATCAGAAAACAAAAGGGATATAAATTGTTGAATGTAAGACGAATTTATTCTGTAAGCTTGCATCCAAATTACTAAATACGGAAAAAATTTAATTTTTTAATAATTTAATTGTATTTTTAAACCCTCACCTTTCCTTAAAATCAACTTCCTCATTATCATCTCAGAAATCCTTCAGTGTAATGGTAAGAAACCCACTGCCCAGAGATGCTTCCCAATCAGTAACAACCCTACACAAGCTTTCTAAACCTGTGGGTTGACATGTGGGTTTGAACAGCTGACCTTGCAGTTAGAAGTCCATTGCTTATTCTATGGTGCTATCAGGGTTCCCTATACACTTTTTAAAGCAAAGGTTGTTTTTATAAATGACCTATGAAATATAGCCCTTCATACCACCAGCACCATTTACCCTCTGTAAAATGTGCCAGTTCTTTGATAGTTGATAGAAGCAAAACACAGCAGGTCCTTTTGTGTACTAACGTAGTTTACAAGGTGTCAGAGTAACTGGGAAGCAAAGTGGGTGCTCATCCAGTCGGCCTTTCAACTAGGGATATGACCAGACATGTTTCTTGGACCTCATTTATTTGCGTCTACAATGAAGGGAGTGACGAACTACTTCCGAATCACTAGTCAATGAAAACTCTATGAATAGCAGAGAAACACTGTCAGATATAGGACCAGAAGGTGGGAACACACTCAGAATGCCACTGGGGAAAAAATGCCTCCTCAAAATAGAGTTGACCATGATGATGTGAATAGAGATAAGCTCAAAGGAGAAAAGCTCACAGAACCTTCATTTGCTGATGGGCCACAACTCAAAATGAAGAGAAACAGCTGTAAACATCCATTGAAAAT